TTATCATTACTACCAAACATGGCAAAACTTGTTTGGATTTTGACAACGATGGGAGTGGAGATCTCTGAACCATTCAGTTGCAGACCTGGTCAGTTGGACAGGACCTCAGGAGGTCTCCAGTCCAACTTCTTGCATAAAACAGGGCTAGTGATAAGATCTGACCGGGTTGCTCGGGGATTTATCCGATTGGGTCTTGAAAACCTCCAAGGATGGAGCCTGGACAACCTCTCCGGGCAGCCTGCTCTACTGCTGGGCTGTCCTTGTGGGAATAAGGTCTCTTCCCTACATCAGTCAGAACAGTTCTTGTTTCAGTTTGACCATTGTCTCTTGTCCTCCCACCGCTGTGAAGACCCTGGTTTTATCTCCTTGAGACCTTCCCTGTAAAGCACTGGGGACTGCTCTAAGATTCCCTGAAGCCATTTTTGCTCTGGACTGAACAAGCCAAGCTCCTTAGAATCGTCTAGGTTGGAAGGGACCTTAAAGATCATCTAGTCCAAAACACACTCTTCATAGGGCAAGTGTGTCAGCCCTGACCATCTTGGTGCCCCTGCCCAGACACGCTCCGGAGATGTTTAGTGATAGATATATATTTGCACTGTTGGTGTTGGCCTGTGCAACTTCTTTCTATAGAACTCTTTCAATGGAATTAGTTTCTGAAGGTAAGAACTATTTGATCAAATATAATGTATGTCAATGGGCCCAAACCAGTGGCTCCTGGGAGCAACATCTGGCCCTATAACATGATAGATCAACAGAACTGAGCATCAGCCTCTATTTAGTCTCATAATACCTGGTGTGGTCACCCACTCTGTACTTAAAATCCTGTTTTGCAAGAATCTGCACAGTTTTGCAGGAAATTTCAGCTACAGCAGTTTATTTTAACCTTCAAAATAATGTGCGTGTCTGTCTTTCATGAATCTTGTCACTAGTATTTTGAGTGAGTCATATCCTGACTTGGAGATTATTAAAAACTTTTAAAGAATGAAAAGATCTTTGTATTAAAACGATCTGTTACTTTAGAGATAATGAGTCTATAAATGCTACTTTGCTTGATATTGTGCAAATTAAATAAAATACATCAGCTTACTGAAAAAAGCGTGTTTTAAAATATTTGCATAAAAATAGTGCTATACAACAAAATTATACTTTTCTGCCTATATTTAAATGTTTCTAAAATGTTAAAATAATGTGTGATGCTTGACTTTTGTATTGCAAGCCAAGATACTAGTAAGAATAACAGAATATGCTTCTGTTGATGCCTTCATTTAAGTTGATAAAACAGCTTTATTCGGAGTAATTTTGTGTTTATTGACTTCAGCATATTTTCTTCTTCTGTAAGGATGCCATTAGAACCAAATTTGAACCTTAAAAAGCATTCTCCACTTTAAAAAATTTGTCAGATAAGGTGAAAATATTAGTAGCGACAATGTAAGTTTATTTACATTTAATTTTAGGGGAAGAAAACCAGTGTAAAAAACAGTTTTCTGCACTGGCTTCACTTGCAGTTGATCACTGAAATGTGTTCTTCTATTACTGAATCCAGTGGTGGTAGTTCACTCTCGCTGTGCGTATCAGTGTTTCAGCTCTGTCAGCTATTTTCTGCTCTCTGCAAGTGTAAAATGCTTCATTATTGCCAGCTGAGGGTCAATTTTGATCAGGGTATTAGTCAGTTTCTTAAGGTTTGGAAAGTTGTCCCAGAATTCTGGTGCTTTCAGCTGAAAGCTGCTTCACCCATCTGCTATCTGCTGCCTGGTTGGATGGACTTTGTATTTCCTATAAAAGCATTGGTGCTTCCTTTGGACAAGGCTTCTGCATTTTGGAAAATAAATATGCTTTGGAAAGGAAATGGCCTACTGTACGACACTGCAGTGTTCTGCACTGGAGAATTTTCTTGACAGAGGATAGTGTTATTACACCCAAGAGAAACAGAATTTGTGGAATAAGCAATTTTCTGACCTCTTTTCTGCCATTTGAATTCTGTTAGTTTCTTCTTGCTGGATTTCACTCTTATGTGACTTCTTCTTATAAGTATCAGGATGGAAAATATCTCTGCAGTTGCAAAAACAAATGCAGAAACACAGTAGTGAAATCTTTTCTCCCAAACTAATCCTGCAGCAGTTATTACAGCTTTAATTAAAGATAGATACACATTACAGAGTACCTCCTTTGAACTGTCTAGTCTTGGTCTCCTTAATTAACCAAAACCTGGGATCCTGAAAACCATATTGGATTTTTCTTTCCCCAAGCTCAATACTCCCTTCTGCCATAAAGTAGGCAAATGTATGTGGAAATATAACACGTGCACCCAAATAAAAATACAAAATTAAAGGAAGTATAATACATTGTAACATTTATGGAATCCACTCTTTCTGCATAAAAGTCTATAGTTTATGATCAAACAACGAATCTGATTTATAGAAATCAGTATAAAGAAATGACCTTATCACTGTAAGTGACTTTTTACTTATCGGTGTATATCATACGCATTGTTTGAATTTGGCACTCTTCTTCCTCCAGCAATTGAGGCTAATTATGTCTGTGTGGACTAGATTAATTGGGTGTCACTAAGAGTGAATGGGCAGGCTAATGAGCGCATAAAACAAGAGTCATCTTTGGCTTCCAGGGAATGCAAAAATGGATGTCCAGTTGGTTGTCAGATCATGACTGTGGCTCTGCGTACGTGTCCTTAAATTCGATGAGGATTTTACAGCCAGCCCAAGCTTCAGGTTTCAAAATGCAATCCCTGTTCCAACTCTGGAAGTGAAATCTACTTTTTCCTGTGAGACCACTTTGTTGCTTTGCAGAATTAACTCCAAAAGTAATTAGCTAAATGATGTTTAAGAACAATTCTGCTAGTGAAGATAAAGAGGGTTTCCCTGCTCGTTCCTATGTTACAAAATATCTGCAGAGTAGTGCACGTGCGTCCCTGTCACGCCACCAACTTACTGGCTGCTTGCTTATGTATTTATTTTTCTTCTGCCCTCTTCACAAAGATAGATATGGCCATTCTAGTCAGTGTTGGGTTTTAGGTTTTGTTATTCATTCTTGTTTTTTTCTTTTCTGTATATTTCCAGGATATTGTTTTCCTTGCAACCACAAATGATGCGAACAAATTAGCATCTTAGATCGCTGCCACAGGAAAATGGTAGAATGATTTTTGAAGGCTGTACTGTTGATTTTGAGTATTTCAAGTATTCATCTCAGTGTACGGTAATGAATCCATTCAGGATTTCCCTCTTATATTTAAATAGATCCTTGAATGTAATGAGCACCTATTTCTAAAAGATCTGAAGAAAAGGAAAGGTTGAGAAGAAAGTAAGGAGTTCAGAGGGAGGGGGACACAGGCGATGAAACAGAACTATTTGAGAACAGACTTTCTTCTTTGGTCTTTTTACCTAACATGCTTGATCTCTCTTGGCAGGTTTTTGCTCAGACATAAGTGAAACACGACAGACGAATGAATAGGGTTGCCATGTTCAGTTAATGTTGCGTATCTCAGAAACAAGACCAAGCAAAAGGTGCAGTCTGAAAGCAACGAGGTCCTTAGTGTCAAGATAAACGCTTGTGGTTTTCCGTCTCTTCTTTCAAATTTAGATAAAGAAATATAATTTGTACTGTTAAAAAACACATTTAGGTTTTTTTTTTTTCAAAAAGCCAGTAAAATGAATGAGGTAGTGCAAGGCCATATTACCTAAGATTTTTTTAAAGAATTGAATTATTTAATGCTATTCAGTTCCTCTCTGACTGGTGGATTTGTAGAAAGTCTCTTTATTGCCAGGTGACACATTATGGAAAGGCCAAGTCCTTTCATTTTTACTACTTCAGGAGCTTTCTTTTTACCTTTCCTAAAGACATTGTTATTTTACTTTTATTTTTTGTAAGTCAGGTCTTATTAATATTTCTAGTGGTTTAGGTACATGTTTGGCATAGGTGAGTCTTTTAGTTCTAAGCAGGTAAGATTCAAAAAGGAAATTCAGACGACTGACTGGAGAGATAACTTTTACCTGGGCATGTGCAACAGCACTTAACCAAATTTCGTGAGTGAGGTGTTTCAGTTCCAGAATAAGATGAGTAATTGTAACTTAACAATTACACCGTTAAAGTTGAGGTACAGATAGTTGAAAGATTTGTGAAAATGGTAAAGCCTGTTCTGACCCATGAAAGGCTTTATTTGATGTGAGTTTGCACCTGAAACAACTCATTGGAACTTTCCATGAAGACTCTAGTGCATAAGAATATCATCTTTAAAAGTTACACAGTTAACCTGTTCTCCCTCTATTTTTTCTTCTAACGCTTCAGAACTAGTTCTTCCCAAATTGCTAATGATATGTCAGTAGTAAATCAGTAGGACATCAGTAGCTGGTGTTCAGCACTCTTAATCTTCTTGAACCAAGTTCTCACCAGCTGAAGAAGTTTCATCCCAGTAAGAGTGCTGAATCAGTATGGATCCTGAAGTTCTCAACTCGTCCAGATCTTCAGTGTCTTGCTTATGACTCTTCATGCTTTAGAGAAGATGATGAAAGATGAACAAGCAGGGACTTGTACAAAAACATTATCTGTATTTTTTTTTATTCACACTGCAATTATATTTTGATGGTTTATTTTTTTTCCCACTGTATTCATATTGCTGTTTCCCTTTCCCTTCTCTTCCACTGGAATTCCTTTTCCTCATATAACCAATCACTACACACACCCACAACACAATTTCTGCCAGACTTTGGTACTTGTGACAAATGTCAGACAAGAAATCACCTGACTTCTCAAAAAAAAGATCCAGTGTTCTTGAAAAGCTTCCCAGGTTAAGTGGTATCACGTGGAAAATATTAGAACTTTTTGATGCTTAAAAAAATATTGGTGTGTTACCTGCCCAGTGCAAGCTTCAGTTGATGCTTAAAAAAATATTGGTGTGTTACCTCTCCAGTGCAAGCTTCAGTAAAGAGTTCATATATGTATATATGTTTATACAGTACAATAATTGGTGTCTTTTCTGTTTTATTCAGGTCATTGCCATCGTTATGGATATGTTTACAGATGTGGATATCTTTAGAGAAATTGTGGAGGCATCTGCTAGAGGGATTGCAGTGTATCTCCTGCTTGATGAGTCAAACTTCAGTCACTTTCTGAAAATGACAGAGAAACAAGGCTGTCAAGTTCAGAGGCTCAGGGTAAGGCTTCCTGTGTTCCTGTGCATGAACATTCACTACTCATTCCTCCACAACCCGCTGAAATGGGACTATTATTCAAAAATTGATTATCTAATACTGCTTTTGCAAATTATCTAAGAGGTATAAATAGGTAAGCTCTCAGCAGAACCTTCTCTGTGAATGTTTTTCTCTTTAGAAAATTTGTTATCTTTTTCATGTGTCAAAGCAAGAGTATTTGATAGAATTACACAATTATTTATAAAATAATTTTCCATTATTATCTATTCAGGAATGTTACATGTTTGAAAAACTTAGCTTTTTTTTTCACTTTCTTTTAAAGTAACCTGCAAAGAGTTGTAAAGCTTATGTGAATTAATAAATTGCCTGCTTCATTTTATGATCTTTTTCTCTAAAGTTGCTTCCTACAAAAATACTTTCAAAAGGCCCAAGATTCTACTGTTTTCCTGAAATCTGTAGTATCACCTCTGTCTGCATCGTGTCTTAGGGAGTATTACTTTTATACATGAAATATGTAATTTTATCCTCTAAGAAAGATAACAAGAAGACTAACGTTTACATTTTTCGCAACATGTCCTATGCTGCCCTGATATTTAACAGGGATTAGAATAAAAAACATGAGCTGCATTCACCTGACATAAATGCATCATAAATACTTCTAGATTTACTGTACTGTAGATAGCACCGAGGAACTTCCAAGGACGTTGCCAGAGTTTCTTTGCAAAGCTCTGAGCGCTGCCTTGGCTGAACTTCCTTACAGTTCCATTTGCAATTCCTTTTTTTTTCTGTAACTCGTTAGGCTATGTTTACTCTTGGCAAAAATATTATGAAAGCTCTTCTTAGCAACATGCATTTTAAGAACCCAGTCCAAAAATCAGATAGAGGTGTGGTGTGTTTGTGAGGATAAAGAATTTTGGAGCAAACTTGTATTTTAGTCCACTTTTTTTTTTT